GGGGGGGGGGGGGGGGGAGGCCCGGGCGCACCCCGCACGGTGCGCGGCCCGGGCGCGCGGGCGAGGGCGGCGGGCGGAGCGGGAGGTGACCACGTCCCCTGCGGCCGGGGCGCGGGAAGGCCCGGCCCCCTGCGAGCGACAGAGCGAGCGAGTGAGCGAGCGAGAGAGAGCGAGCGCGCCACCAACCCTGCCCGCCCGTCTCCGCTTGCAGAGGCCGCCGGGGCCGTGGATGGGGAGGGCGCGCCGCCCGGCGGTCCCCGCGAACACGCGTCCACGATGAGGGTCAACGAGAAGTACTCGACGCTGCCGGCCGAGGACCGCAGCGTCCACATTCTCAACATCTGCGCCATCGAGGACCTGGGCTACCTGCCGTCCGAGGGCACGGTGAGTGTGGCGGCGCACCTGCGCGGCGCGGGGAGGACTCGCGGGGTCCGGGCTGCGCCGTCCACGCCGCGTGGGGGGCGCCCACCCGCGCACGTGCGCCGGGAAAGCGCGGCGGCCCCGCCGAGTGCGCGCGCCCACCACGCGGGACGCACAGCCAGGACCCCGCGTGCCCGCTCTCAGCCTGAGCCTGAGCCCACGGCAGGGACCCCCGGAGGGACCCTCCCGTCCAGGCCCGTGGCCATGGGTGTCCCAGGGGCAGCCGGGGTAGGGTTTGGGCTCAAGGGTGGAGACCCAGTTGGCCGCCACCGGCGCAAGAGAGAGGCAGCCGCCACCCTGCGGGGCTCGAGCCCTGGGGCCCCACCTGCCAGCAGCCCTGTCGTGCTGTGCCTGGGGCGCTGGGTCCGGCATGGGAACTTTCAACGCCCGGTGGTGGGCCTGACCGTGGAGGTTGTGAGATTGTTTTTTGGTCCCCTGTCTCCACCCTGGTCCCGGTGGGGGAGGAGGGCGCCACCCCCTGCCCCAGTGCTGGCAGGGAGCCAAGTCACCTGGTTGGGGACCCCAATCCAGAGGTCCTCCCTGGTCCAGCATGGGAACTCCCAAAACCCAGTGGTCCTGACAGTGGAGGTTGGGAAAGTGCCTCCCCTCCCCACGCTGGCATGGAGCCAAGTCACCTGGTTGGGGACCCCAGTCCAGAGGTCCTCCCTGCTAACTCTACCACTCTCCCTGGGGCTGGATCCAGCTGGTCACAGGGATCCCATGAGAAGTTTGACTTAAAGGACAAAGTTTGCCGGTAGAAGAGAGGGCTGTGGCCCCACAGAGTGGGGGCTGTAGCTTGGTAGGGGCAAGCCGGGATCTAAGCACAGAATCCCCTTTCTCCCCCTCTCCATCTGCCCCCTTCAAAGCCACTCCCCAGGGCTGGCCTGGGGCTGGAGAGATGGAGGCCCAGCTTGGGCGGTGATTGCCCTAGCCGCTCCTGCTCCCTCTACCCTTGGGCTGGAGAACTGGAGGGCCCAGAACCAGCTTTGCCCAGAGGGTACAGGGTAGAGCAGAGCCAGGCTCAGGCTTTGGGGAGACCTTATGCTTCAAAGTCTCAGTGGGGAGCACAGGTGAGGAGTGGGGGCTTGCAGAGCTGCAGGGAGCGTGGCTCAGGGGCAGAGCTGGTTGAGGAGGCGTCTGCCTGCAATACAAAGTCTTGGCCTAGTGGCTCAGGGGCGACTTGTGAACAGAGCTGTGTGCCAGGCCTGGTTGGTCCCTGGGCACCCACAGAGAGAGGCAGGGAGGGCTCCGCCCTTCCGGAGCTTAAGAAGTGGTGATGGAATGTTACCCGTTACCCGTGACAGTGACAAAGGACAATTCCTTAGTGTCAGGCCAGTTCTGTGTCCTATCTTGTTTAACTCACAACTGCGTGGGTAAGTGCTGTTTTTATGAGTAAAATTGAAGAAGAACTAACTGGGTAGGTATGGTGGTACACGCCTGCAATCCCAGCTACTCAGGAGGCAGAGGTAGGAAGACTGAGATCCAAAGCCTAGGAAACAGACCCTGACTAAAAAAACAAACCAAAATAAAAAGGACTGAGGGCATGGCTCAAGTGGCAGAGCACTTGCCTAACAAGCAGGAGGGCCCTGAGTTCAAACCTTACTGATTGACAAAAAGAAGAAAGGAAGCCAGAGGCCAGATGAAGGTGATGGATTTCGTTAAGTTTTCTGTGTGCTCATCTTTGGGTGTTTCTAATGTCAAACTATCAGCTACCAGTGGCCTGGGAGCTGTGAGCTCCACCAATCCCAGGCACCCAGAAAAACCTGCTGAGCTGGTGTCAGCCCACCTGCTGACATGGGGCACTTTCCTGCTGGTAGGGACAGTAGTGTCTACTGTAGATTGCCAAGCCGGCCCAGTAGCTGTAAGTTGATCCGTAGTGGTCACAATTCTGTCTGAAAACTTTTTGGAATAAAAGTGCGTTTAAAACTGATGTTCCTCTCGGGTCTGAAATTCAGTCTCAAACCCAAAGCCAGTTTGAGGTCTCTGATTTCGGGTCGCCCATTTTCTGAGAAGGCAAACAGTCGGTTTCTGTAGAGTGACCACGACTTTTCCTTAGAGCGGGAGAATTCAGCTCCCGGAACTTGACTCCATGTAAGGACTGAATAAACGAACGCACCGAGTCCCAGGCATTCGAGCCGTGGACACAGGGCTCTGCTCTTTTCTGGAGTCTGGGGAGTGGGTTTGGGAAGGACAGGGCTGCAACTCTCCTGCTATGAAGGTGTCCCTTCCCATTTTCCCATGTGACACCAGGAGGCATTTCTCCTCTGAGGTTTCCCTGTCTTCCTGGGACAGTCCCTCTGGGAGCACTTGCCCCAAATGGCCAGGAGGCAACCTCAAGTACCCCCAGTACTCTCCCGTCACATTGTAATCCCACAAGCATCATTGGACCTAAATGGGGGGGGGGGAAGGGGTTGTCCCCATCCTGCAGATGAGAAAACTGAGGCTCCATAGCAGGTGTTGTGTTTAAGCTGCTGGCCTGGCGGGGACCTAGGTTTCTGTCTCTTGGGTTGATGCCAGGAGTGAAATGCAGACCCAGACTGCTGTCATCCATGCATGCACACACTCACGCATTCACTCCACAGCCACCAGCCATTAAAAAGACGAGGAAGAAACCCTGCAGTCCACACAGGTGGTCTAAGAGGTCACCTGCCCTTTTCTGAAGGCTAGGGAAGAGAACATTCTGGACCTTTCCAAGCTTTGAACTGGGAGGCCAGGCAGGCATAAATCCTAGCCCACACCCCTCCTGCTGCACACCTTTGTGTCCTGTCCCTCCCACTTCCAGGGAAATGGCCCAGAGAGCCCCATGGCCACCTCAGCAGCTGTGGCCACACCTTGCTATGTCCTCAGCCCCACTCCCAAAGCTCCAGCCCAGCTCAGATCTAGGGGGCCTCCCAGCCCATTTAGAAGGGGCTAGCACTTATTCAGGAAGGTTTCCCAGGATCACAGCACAAAAATCATCCAGGGGACCACACCCTGGGGCTGTGCTTGGTGCTGCCTCCTGCTGGTCCCATCACCGCCATCACCACATCCAACTCCTTTCATAGCTTTTTCAAATCTGGAGCTGGCACCGTGCCACCTGTCATTTGCAGTCTCTTCTGACCGTAAGATTATTTTCTCCAGTTCTGTAGGCAGGTGTCTCAGTCAGTTCTCAATGTTGAGGGTTCACGAGCTCTTTTAAAGTTCAAATTAATACCGTGAACCCTTCCAACCACCCTCTAAGGAAAGTCACATTTAATGAGGGTTTTGGAGGAACAGAGAGGTTGAGCTCTGTGGCTTGGGTAGCACAGAGCGTTGGTTTCCCCGCATAGGGAAGATGATGCTCACCTTGGTGGGGCTTCTGGCTGTCTCTTTCAGGTCATGCCAGGACCTTAGGTGATGTTCCCTCCTTCCTTCCCAAAGACTGGCGGGCCCCTGAGGGCAGGCAGGCTGTGGATGGGGCCCCGATGGTGGAGGTGTTCATTTGAGCTCGGGGACCTTTGCTGCCTCACCTTGTAGAGTCATTGGCCACTCTCTGGGGTGGTTCCCCACTCTCTGCCTTGACAGGATCTCTGTGAATCTCTTGTCTTTCCCTGTGTTGTTTGTCCATCTTGTTAAATAGTTGCCGATGTCCTGGCCAACCAGGAGCTCCAGGGCCGGCAGGAGATGCTGGGCAATGGATACAAATGTGTTAGGAAAGTCCTGGCGTGGTCTCTAAGGCCACAGCGAGTTAAGAGCTACAGGGAGATGGTTCAGAGACAGCCTGAACTCACAAGGAGAACGGCGTTGACAGAGTGGCTGGCACCTTGGATCCCAGTCATAGGCAATCCTGATCCAGGGTGGATCACCGGGCTGAGACAGGAGGAAGGGCAGGTGGCCGGGGGCATGCAGCAGGAGTAAAGACCAACCTGGGGAAGGGGAAAGAAGGGGAGGAGGCCCAAGGAGGAGATGGGAAAGTATGCTGAAGCCACAGGAGCTGTCACCAAGCAGGCCTGGCTCGGCCTCGTGGAATTCCAAGTCCCCATTTGGAGAACAGAACTGAGCCTGGTGTTGGGCTGCTGAGCATCTGAGGGACCCCAGATGCTGGCAGCTGGCAGGTGTGCCTTGGCCTCAGAGACTGCTTGTCCACCTTGGTTGACCACCCCTGCCCTCTTGCCCTGCCAAGCATGGGCCTCCTCCCATGCAGGACCTAGGTCTGCCTTGGCGCTGGCTCTTCTGCCCTTGGAGGCACCGCCAGGTCACTGTGACTCTGCGCTTCTCAGACCTTTCTGATACACTGAGGAGAAGGCATGTCTGCCCTTGGGCCAGGATGGAGGGCAGGGTGATGGCAATGGTCCCCAGGCGCCTGTCCCCAGCACATGTTGGACTCGCTCCTGCCCAGCTCAACTTGGTTAATCCTCCTGGCGGGACGCAGCTGATCTGCCCTCCCTGCCTCCCAGGGCAGATCTGAGACTCCCAGGCCTTGGAGCTGGACAGGATCCAAGAGCAGGCTTGGACTTGGGCCTGGCTGATGGCAAGGCCTGTGTGAGGCCACCGCCCCACTCCCTCTGCCCTTACCTGCTGCCCCCAAGGAAACTGCAGCTCACTGTGGCTCCAGGACTCCCCCCACAGCGTGTGCGTAACCACTGCCCAGAGTCCCCCTCTGCTGTGTCCTTCAGCACCTGAGAAAAGTGGGCACTGGTCAGCCAAGGGAGACTGCTGCTACTTCTCCTCGAGTCTCAGTTTCCCCCGGGTGGAATGGACTTGGTTATAGAGCCCCCACTCTGAGGGTGGGCTTGTGGGGGTGCAGTAAGATGGTGTACCCTATGACAGCTTGTAAACCCAGCTACTCTGGAGGCGGAAGCAAGAGGACTGTGATTCAAGGCCAACCCAGGCAAAGCTAATAAGACTGTCAAAAAAAAAAGGGCTGTGGTATGACTCAGAGATAGAGCACTTGCCAGCACGCACAGGCTGTGGGTTCAATTCCTAGTAACACCCACACACAAAAGAGCATCTCCTCAATCCACAGTTCCTAGGAAGGGCTGGAGCCTTCCTGAGTGTGGGAAAGAGTCTGGGAGCTCAGCCCCCATCTATCCTGTGACCTCCGTCCCTGGCTCCCCTATATGGACACAAACTCACCTGCTGGCTGCAGATAGACAATGCTAGGGTCACCCATGAGCACGTCCTTTACTGGGCTGGAGTTCAAGTCCTGCTGTCCTCAGGAAACGGCCCCATCCCACACTGCCCTGCCCCTGGGCCTTGCGAGGACATCTCGCAAGGGTGTGGTGCTAGCCCAGAAGCACCTACAAGGCTCTGTCACAGGGAGCAGGATGGGGACCTGTAGGGAGCACATCTGCTCTCTGTCCAGGTCCTCTTGAGTGTCACCAAGCCAGGCTGGACCCTAAGTTACTGTAGATTGAAGTTGGCCAAATAGTTCCAGCCTCCTTCCGGTTCCAGGTGCTGACCAGGCCCTGCCCAGCTGTAGGCAGTGCTGTCTCCAGAAGGCAGCTTTCTGGGACTGGGAACATGGAGATGCCAGGGGAATGACCCCCGTGCTATGACCAGGGGACAGGGTGCCCTGACCTGGCCGCCAGACCCTGCCCAGGAGCCCCTTCTTCCCATCCTTCTCCTACAGCAGTCCCCACCAGCACAGCAGCCTCCACTGTGCGTCTTTCTCTCTGCCTCCCTGCCCTTGGCTTGGTGTGGAGTGCGGAGCCCCTCCGGCTTCCTCCATCCTCACCCCTTCAGCTAACACAGCCCTCCAGCCCTCAGGCACATAGTAGGCTTGCAGCTTTCATTGTCGGGTGCCTGGCACCCTAGAGTCATGGTGCAACTGGGAACTGTCTTGAGGCTCCAGGTGACCACCGAGGAGCCATTCCAGGTTTCTGTGGGAGGTTAGGAGGAGCGACCAAGGCCAGCCTCTGGGTAGTGGCAGAGCCTGAACTTTATAAAGACTTCTGGGGCCTTTCCCAGCCCCCTGCTTTGTAAGAGCAGTGTCCTGGATGGGGTGGGGAACAGATCAGATAGGACCAGAGGGGTAGGTATGGATGGGCTGTGGTGGGAAGCGTGGGGACATGGGGGGAGTGGGGAGTTCCCAGGGCTGGGAATGACTAGAACATCCCAGGGAGGGGATGCTGGTGGCGACTCTTGTCATTTGCCCTCCAAACCAGCTGAGTACTGGGGAAACTGAGACCAGAGTCTGCACCCGGCATAGAGGGGAAGTTTAGGTCTAGGCACAAGCTTGGGGACTGTCCAGGACACTGTCAGGGAAGGCTTTCTGGGGGAGAAGGCCCAGCGGCAGTGCAGGGAAGGGCTATCAACTTTCTGCTGGCCACAGGAATTTGGGACCCTGCCTTCAGCCACACACAGTCGCCTCGTGCTCCACCAAGGACCTCATTCTTGGATGAGGATGCAGCTCAGGGATGAGAGCGGGGGGCATCTGTGTACAGACATCGGGACCTAGGAGGGAAACCATGTGGTCAGCTGGGCTGAGGCCAGCTCCGAGGCTAGCAGGTGGTGGGGAGCTGCTCCTAGGCTATGTCCCAGCCTAGTTTCATTCATCTTGCTGAAGCCAGCTTGCTGGTTGACCTATGATAGCCAGCTTTGGTCTCAGTGACAACTGTGGACCACATTGTAGTCTGGTGAACACATGGCTTTTTTTTTTTTTTTTTCTTTTGTGGTACTGGGAGTTGAACCCAGAGCCTTGTGCATGCTAGGCAAGGGCTCTACCCCGTCCAACACATGGCTTTTTAAACCACCATACCATGCTTCTGTCTCCTGGGGCCTTGTGGATTCCTTCAGACGAATAAGGAAACTGAGGCAATCCAGACGGTGTTGGAGCCCTTGCCCAGCCCAGAGTCCTGTCCATGCTGGTGGCTCCCTACTCCCTCCGCCCACAGACATCCTACCTGTGTGCAGGTGAGGGGAATTAGTGCCCCCAGGAGCAGATGGAGAACCACAAAGCTAAACCTGCAGTGGGTGCCAGCTCTGGTGTGCTCCTTGGGGTCATTCCCAGGGTCCCCAACGGGATGGAAGCAGCTGCCCACACAGTGGAAGCCCCTGGCTCCTCCTCACCCTGCTGAGGCACCTTGAGTAAGCTGTTTGCAGTAGGAGTCTGGTTTGGGCACAGCGCAGACTGAGCCAGCGAGAGCCTCACCTCTGGCCACACAGCTGGTTAGCAGCCCGCACATGGCGTCCTCAGGATGGGGGCGTCAGTGGGGGAGGTTTGCACCTGCCCAAAGCTGAGCTTGGCTCCACCCTGAGGCCCCGTCCACGTGTGAAGAGTCCTTCTGGGTGGAGGGGGTTGACTTGCAGCTCTCCCCAGTCAGCCAGGGGAGTTCCTCCCACCCAGCCTGCACCAGCTCTGGAGACCCTGAGGCTTTCTGGGTGATCACTGTGTGGCTTGGCGTCCTCAGGGGCAGTCAGCGTCAAATGCCTGCTTCTGGAAACCCAAGTCGGTGTGCCTCAGCCCCTAGCACAGTGCCTGGCTCCCAGTTGTCCTTCAGAACCACAGGGAATGGGTGCCAGGACCCCCTCAGATTCAAAAACCCATGGACGCTCCAGACCCTCCCAGGAGACAGTGTAGGGTTTGCACAGAACCTACACACAACCTGAGTGTGGACTTCAAATTGTCACTCGATGACATGTGACATCTTGCACAATGGAAATGCCGTGGACACAGTTGGGATACTGTTTTTCTGAGAACAGTGACAAGGGAAAATGTCTGCACGTGCTCAGTCCAGATGCAAGGTGCTCTTGTTTCTGGAGGTACTGGGCTTTGAACTCAGACCCTTGGGCTTGTGAGACAGGCACTCTACCACATGAGCCACACGGGAGCCTTTTCTGCCCAGACCAGCCTGGACCAAGGTCCTCCTATGTATGCCTGCCACATAGCTGGGATGACAGCTTATGTCACCATGCTCAGCTTTTATTGGTCGAGATGGGGTCTCTTGAACTTTTTCCCTGGGCTAGCTTTGAACCATAATCCTCCCAATCTCCACCTCCTCCCGAGTAGCTAGGATTACAGTTGTGAACCACCATGCTGGGCTCCAATGCAAAGTTTGTCAATGAGTATTTTTTATCTGAGGTTGTTTGGAACTGTGGGCTCAGGCCCATGGATTCAGAGCCTGGGGGTATGGGGTCCACCATGTTTGTTGAGTGAGTAAGTGAGTGAATGAATGGATGGACGGAATGTCTGAGTCTCCCGTGCTCCCTCAAAGGCCCACCAAGAAGGGCTCCACATTGAATGACTTCCTTCTCCTGCCCCCTCAGCTGCTCAACTCCTTGTCGGTGGACCCAGATGTGCAGTGTAAATATGGCCTGTACTTCCGCGATGGCAAACGCAAGGTGGACTACATCCTGGTGTATCACCACAAGCGGCCATCGGGCAGCAGGCCCCTGGCCAGGAGGTCCCAGCACAGTGACGTCAGTGTGGGGACCCGCAGTGTCAAGCAGGACCAGCCCCTGCCGGGGAAGGGGGAGCCAGTGGACGTGGGCTCGCCCGAGGCCCCCATGGACTACCACGAGGACGACAAATGCTTCCGCAGGCAGGAGTACGAGGGGAACCTGCTGGAGGCCGGCCTGGAGCTGGAGCACGACGAGGAGGTAACTGTCAACCACACTTCCCGTCGGCCCGCGTGTGGGGTGCACAGTGTCATTTTCAGAGGGGGTGGGGGTCTCCTCCAACCTTCCCTGTCTTAGACAAGGACCAGATGACGACAAGGCTCTTGTCGTCAGGTGGGGAAGGGGTCATTTCCAAACAGCTTTGGGGAGCCCAAGCCAGTCTTCTATGGTCACATCTGCCCAGGGCAGGGCTGGCCTGCTCGGCTGGGCCGTGACCTTCAGGTCAGCGCACTTCCTGCCTCTGACAAGGGCCTGGGCTGGGAAGACTGGCCTGACCAGAGGGACAGAGCCCAAAGCTGTCCTGGGGGTTTTCCTGAATGACCTTGCCCCTGTTGGGAGCCTTAGTTTCCTCAAACTCTAAAACAAGGAGGTGCAGCCCTGCTCTGAAATCCATCTCTGTAACGGTGTTCCAGAAACCTGAGTCTTGCTAAGAGAAACTCTGAAGAGAACAGAGGTCCACTTGCCTCTCGTGCCTGACTGCCACATTTGCCATTGAGAGTGACTTCAGTGGGTGCCACTTTCGACCCGCTGCCCTGCAGAGCTGTCGCTGTTCAGATTCCTCCAGAATCAGCAAATCTCTACCTCACAGGCAGGGCAGGAAAAGTTGTCAGCAGGACGAGTCAGGAAGCCAGTTGAGTCAACTGTGAATGTTTAAAATAAAAGTCAGCCTGGGTTTAATTTCACCAGCAGGAACTGCTGTGCTTTAAATAACGAGTGCTTCTGGTTCCGTGATAAGAAGTCCTTAAAATACTTACACCCCAAAGCTAGCTCATTAGGGACCCACACTGTAAACAAGTAGTTATAAACAACCAGAAACCAGGGCTGCAGGGGTTGCTCAAGTGGTAGAGCGCCTGCCTAACAAGTGCAAAGTCCTGAGTTCAATCCCCACTACTGCAACAAAACCAAAACCCAAACCCAACCAAACAACAACAAATCAGAGCCATTCAGCCCTCGCCAGAGCCTCTTTCATCCCGACCCTACTGTTACGGACTGGTTTTGAACTCAGGGCCTGGTGCTGGCGAGGCAGGCTTTCTTCCCCGTGAGCCACTTTCCCAGCTGTCTTTGCTTTGATTATTTTTGAGATAGGATCTTGCATTTATGCCTGCCTGGACCTCCTTATGTCTCCCTGCATAGCTGGAATGACAGGCACACACCACCGTGCCCCACTTTTATTGGTCTTGTGAACTTGTTGCCCAGGCTAGCCTTGAACCATGATCCTCCTGAACTCTGCCTCCTAAGTAGCTAGCATTACAGGCGTGAAGCACCACACCCAGCCTTGGCCACAGGATCTTGTGCAATATGCAGCACTGCTCAGGATCCCCTCACCTTCCAGAGGTTTGGCCACCTGGCAGGTGTTTGGGAGTCCCTCGCAGGGATGGTTCCCACTGGGGTTGCCAGGGTGCAGAGCCGTCTTTAAGAAGTTTGGATGGTCAGGAGGCAAAGATTGGAGCCTCACGGAACTCCCAGATTTCTCCCTGACTTTGTGGTGGCAGCCAGGAAACACACATTTGCTATTCCTGTGGCTTTTCCTGCCTCACTTCGAGAAGAGAGGTCAATGCTGCTGGCTTTCTCGTTGTCCTGCCCTGCCCACCCTGTGGCCTTTGAACACGGTGACTACCACGTGGAGTTTATTTCAGAGGTCATTTCTAACTCGAAGAGGGTCTCAGCTCTGTGGGGGCTGTGGTGCCTCTCCGTGGAGCGTGGTTTGGGACCCATCTGTTTCCCAGGGAATTCTCTCTCTCCGTGACATCCCTTCCTAATGACACCATACGCTCTGAAATGTGGCAGCAGCCTCGGAGGTGTGGCAGTTCAGACCCCAAGCTTCCACCTATCCTTTCTGACCTGGTGGCCTCAGTCTCCCCGTCTGGAAGATGGAGACAACAATGGTATTCACATCCCTGGGGTTCCCTGAGTAGCCTTTGAAAAGTACATGACCCCAAGTCTAGCACGTGACTCATCTTTCTATAATACTGATATTTGTATTATGTCACATATTGGAATAGCGGTGCCAAGACAGAAGATCCTTCCCAAGTCCTGTTCACTACCGTGTCACACGGTCTTCTCCCAAACTTTCTCATGTCTGAGATGAAAAGCAAACGTGAGGACCAAAAGAAATCTAGGTTTTCCTATAAGTGAGCCCAGATTTCATGGGTTGTTTGGCTCCCGAGCTAAATAAGACCTTTAAAAATGAAAATATGGTTGTGATGTAGATAAGACAGTTTGAGTTTCCTAAGTGGCCAAAACTGAGTCGTCCCACCTCCCTGCTGGGGACTTTTGATGGTTCTGGGGTTTGAACTCACGGCTTTGCTCACACTTGCTAGGCAGCTGCTCTAAACACTTGAGGCACTCCACCAGCCCTCTTTTTTTTGTGATGGGTTTTTTCGAGATAGGGTCTCTCAAACTGTTTGCCCAGGCTGGCTTCGAACCTCGATCCTCCTGATCTCTGCCTCCTGAGTAGCTCCTGCTGGGGTCTTAACATCATCACCTGTGTTTTACAATGGCCTGGAGAACCCAAGATTCCCTCCCATAGCGGCAGTCTGTTGCTTGCCCACCCTCCCACGTCAAGAGAAGGTGATAAGGTCCTTGCCACACACATGCACACAAGGATGGGCGCGGCCCCGGCCTGCGCGATTAGCAGAGGCTGAATTTGTGTCAGGGACAGTGGCTCTCTCAGGAGCCCTGTTCCTGCGGTGGGCTTGGATTACAGGGAGCCAGAGGGCTTGCCGTTTTGGAAAGGGAGGGCCTCCAGAGCCCTGTTGCACAACTGTACCTAATTTGAAGCAAATCGGGACTTGGGCACACTTTCATGGGAAGAAAAATCACAGAACCCATCAGGTATGCGCCCCCTGCAAAAAACAAAAATGAGGACTTGTTGCCTTAAAGCTGTTTTCTTGACCCTGATACTGTCGACATTTGACACTTCACAGTATCCCTGGCCTCGGCCTGGCTGGCGGCAACTCCCAAGTCATGAAAACCAAAAATGTCCCCAGACGTTGCGAAATGTGCCTGGGGACAAAATTGCCCCCTAGTTGAGGGAACCCTGCTTCAAAGGCGGGACAGGATGGCAAAAGAGAAAGACTTTGTAGAAGAGAGGGTCTCCTGAGTGTGATGCCAGCGCCTCTGGAGCTGTGGCCACACAGGGGTGACCTGGCCCTTGTGACCGCAGGGCACACGCGGGTGTGCTGTGCTGTATATTCCCGGGCGCAGCGGCTGTCCGCCTTGCCTGATGGGGAGCCCCTCTGTACTTGCTTTCCCCCCAAGGCCGGCTGATTGTCCTGAGACTCTGTGATGACAGAAAGGTGTGCGGCCCTGCTAAGAAGGTACGTGTGACTGAGGGGCAGATGGACGGCTCCTAGGGATAGCACCTGCTAGTCTCCTGTGGCTGTGTAACAAATGACCTCCCGTGGGCGGCTTAGCACAGCACAGGCCTCTTCCCTGGCTTTCTGAGGTCATCAGTTCAGAGTCACGGTGTGGACAGGGGACAGGGTGCTCCCGAGGCTCCTGGGCAGGGTCCTTCCTGTGATTGTGCCTTATTTGGAAAAAAGGTCTGTGCAGATGTAACCAAGCTAAGACAGCATAGTAGTGGATACAGGGACCTATGCAGAATGACTGTCCTAAGTAGAAAGGACACTCAGGATTCCCAGCAGAGGGGCTGGGGTGTGGCTTAAGAGGTAGAGCTCCTCAGAGCAAGCATGAGGCCCTGAGTTCAAACCTCCGTGCTGCCAAAAAAAAGATTCACAGCAGAGGAGCCCCGTGAAGATGGAAGCTGAGGCAAGAGTGATGCGACCACAAGCCAGGGGACACAGGAAGAGAGGAGCCCTCAAGACCCACAAAAGCCCCAACCTGCACTCAGTGCCCGGAGGTGGCCCCAGCAGAGCCCCTACCACTGGCTACTGTGGTCCCAGAGCCCAAAGAGGGCCAAGTGAGGGACCCCAGAGAGAAGTCCCAGAAAACTTGAGGAGAGACCCTGAGCGAGCAGGAGAGGGCTAGAAGCTGCTGCACACATGTGACCTGCAGCCCTGACTTCAGCAGAGGGGGCAGGGACCCCATGCCGCACTGCATGGTGGGAGACAAACTGAGGTGGGAGCCCAGGCTTCAGGAGTCTCCCTCTGTCACTTCCTCTCCTCTCCCTCTTCCCCACCCCTTGTCTGTCCCTTTCTCCGTATCTCCACTCTCCCTCTCTCCTTCTCTTCCCCTCCCTGTCTCACCTCTTCCCTTTCCTCCCTCTCCTGTCCTTTTCTCCGTCCCTCTCTCTGCCTCTTCCCCTACTCTCTCCTTCTCTTACTCTCCCTTCTTCCCCCCTCCCCCACCTCTTCTTTTCCCCCTACACTGTAGGGTCAGCTTGCAGGGTTTCCGTTCAAAGGATGAGGCGTTCATGGCCAACGTGTTTTCTGGAAATGAAAACCCATTAGCATTTTTGAAGTCGAGCCTCAAAGCCTGCTAGGCATTATTTATGTCCCTAGGTCATTGTTGAGAACACCACACACTGAAATCCTGGCTGTGTGTGCTGGGCGGCTGGATCCCTCACTGCCCCAGTCTTGCACTTGACCTTGGCTTTGGCAGATTCTCTTAAGGCTGTGGACAGGGGCCCAGCAGTGTGTTTGCTCTCACACCATCAGAGGACAGCCAAGGGACACAGAGCCGTGGGGAGGATGCAGCCCCCGAGCCAGAGCGCAGCTCAGACCCAAAGAGGCCAAACTCAGATCCAACTCTGCCATTTCCTGGATCAAGCGGCGTTCCCTTTCTGAGCCTCAGTTTCTCCATCTGTTAAGTGGAGGTAGTTAGTGATAGTATGCCCTTCCATGTGATTGGTGATGAAGGGTGAGGAGAGTCAGTTGTAGGGTCTGGTGCATGGAACGATCCGGCCAGCAGTGTCAGTGCCCCCCCCTCACCTGTGGGCCTGGGCACAGGCTGCCCTTCACAGCTCCCGGGACCCAGGCCACAGCAGCAGCCAGACAGATAGGATTGGAACTCACAACTTT